GACCAAGGTCTTTGAGAGAAAATGAAGCCTGAAGCTCACCTAGTAGCTTGGTGGTAGCAATGGGAGAGGAGCTGGCCACAATGATATCATCAACGTACACGAGCATGAAAATGGTGACCCCTCTCCGGTTCAAGACAAAAGGTGATGTGTCAGCCTCGGATGGCAGAAAACCAAGTTGTTGAAGACGAGAGCTCAACCGAGAGTACCAAGCCCGAGGAGCTTGTTTAAGACCATAAAGGGCTTTCTGAAGCTTGCATAGATACCGAGGAGTAGAAGGATCTTCGAAGCCATGAAGAAAGGCATTTTGGACGTCCAACTACCGCAAGCACCACCCACGGGAGACTGCAATAGAAAGCACGAGACGCACGGTAACAGGTTTGACAACCGGACTGAACGTGTCATCATAGTCCAAACCATGTCGTTGCTTGAACCCCTTCGCAACAAGACGAGCTTTGAGACGATCAACCGAGCCATCTGCTTTGTGCTTGACCTTAAAAACCCATTTGCAGTCAATGATGTTGACATTGGGTGGCGGAGCAACAAGAGTCCAAGTGCCATTGTGGCGAAGCGCATCAAGTTCAGCTTGCATGGCTTGGTACCAACTTGGGGACCGGAGCGCCTCACGGTAATCCGCAGGTTCACGTACAGTGAGGAAGGCACGTTTGGACGGGTTGTAGACGATGGTGCCATCAGTGTGTTGCTTGACATGGCGCGTATGATCGCGGGTCCGAGTCACCATGGCATGCCCCAGTGGAACAGAGGGTCCGGCAGCCGCAGAAGATCCAGCGTGCAGCAGCAGGCGGCTCCACCTAGGATCTCGTGAGCTGCTCGTCAGGGGAGGAATCCGCGCCCACAACCGGGGACGGGCCCACACCGGTTTCCCCCGCAGCAGGTATGGGCGCCACACGGACGGTCACGGCTGGTGTGTCGGGCGCAGCGGGAACCGGCCCGGTGGTAGGCCCCACTGCAGGTGAGGACGAGCGCCGCGTAGAGGCGGGTGGGGCAGGTGGCCCACCCGTGCCGGGCACCTGGTCCAATGGAGAGGCGGGCGCATCGCTGTCGCATGTTGAAGGAGAGGGCGCGTTGTTGTTGTCTGCAGGCACGGGATCCGAGAGCGAATCAGCTCCGGGATCAGCGCCAGAATCTGCATGGGATCCTGGGGAAGCCGCGCCTGGGATCGTTTGTGGCACATGGGATCCTGCATCCAAATTAGCATCCGAAACAGAAGTGCAATAATTCATGTGGTCATGCGGAAAAAGGAGGATGGCATGTTCTGCAACACGAGGTGGTATGGGAGCGGTTTGGGGTTGAGCAAACGGAAAAAATTTCTTGTCAAACACAACATCTCACGTGAAATATAGATGCGAGCTGTGGGTACATGAAGGCATTTATAGCCTTTGTGACGGATGCTATACCCTATGAACACACATTGTTGAGAGCGAAAGGAGAGTTTGTGTGTGTTGTACGGACGTAAGTTTGGTCAACATGCGCACCCGAAGGTTCGAAGAGACACATAGTTTGGTTTGTGATGAAACAGCTTTTCCATGGGACTAACATTTCCTATAACACGGCTCGGAAGTCTGTTGATAAGATAGCAAGCGGTTAGGTAGGCTTCATCCCAAAACCGCAATGGCATGGATGCATGTGATAAAAGTGACAAGCCCATGTCAACAATGTGACGGTGTTTTCTTTCGGCGGAGCCTTTCTGTTGATGCGTGTGTGGGCACGACACATGATGTGCAATACCAAGTTGATTAAAGAATGTGTTGCTAAGTTTTTCGTATTCACCGCCCCAGTCCGATTGAACGCAGAGAATTTTACGAGAAAGAAGGCATTCAACATGAGCAAGAAAATCACGAAAAACATCAAACGCATCACACTTTCGTTTGAGAAGGTAAATCCAAAAAAATTTACTATAATCATCAATGAATGACACATAGTACTGGAACCCACTAGATGAAGTCTTAGCGGGCCCCCACACATCTGAAAAAACTAATTCCAAAGGAAAAGATGAAACACTCGATGGCCTAGGAAAGGGAAGTTGGTGTGCTTTGCCTTGCTGACATGCATTGCAAATGTTGGTCAATGACCGACTAGATGACACGAGTTTATTGGAAGCCAAAACATGCTGGACGACTTGAGACGACGGATGGCTAAGCCTAGCGTGCCAATCTTTAGCAGAGAGCCGAACCGAGGACAAGGCACGAGCTCGAGATGGCCGGACGGGGTAAAGCCCATTATCACATCTGCCTTGAAGAAGTACCCTCTTGGTAGTCAAATCCTTCATAAGAAAATGAGTAGGATAGTATTTTAGATAAGCATGATTATCAACAGCAAGATGATTAACAGAGATAAGATTCTTGTCTGCATTAGGAACATGAAGGATATTGTGAATCTTATGATTGGCGGAGGGTGTAGGAAGAATTGCATGACCACGATGAGCTATTTGCAAACCTGATCCATCAGCCGTATGGATGCGGTCGCGCCCTGGATATTTCTCCCTCACGGTGAGACGATACAGGTCAGTGGTGATGTGGTCTGTAGCCCCCGTATCCGTGAACCAGGCGGGATCGCCAAGGATGGACGAAGGAGAAGCAGCAGCAAGGCCTGCCATCTTGGAGTGGGGAGACTGGGACACGTGGTTGTAGCGCTGGCCACACTCCCAAGCAAAATGCCCGGGGCCGCGGCAGAGCTGGCACTGAACGCGCTTGTCACCACCACCAGCGTGGTCACCGCGGTCACCACCACGGTTGCCACCATAGTCGTTCTGCTGGCGGTTGCCAGCGCCGCCACGGTTGCCGCGGTCACCACCACGGGCATTGTTGTTGTAGCCGCCGTGGTCGCCGTAGTTGTCGCGGCCCTTGCCGCGGTAGTTGCCCTTGCCGCGGTTGTTGTTGTTGCTGCCGCGGGGAGGGTTGTTGTTGTCGCGAGTGACATAGTTGAGGGAGGAGCCGCTAGTTTGGAGACGAAAGCGTGCAGCGTTGTACTCACGCCGGCGCTCAAAGGCAATGGCATGAGAGTAGAACTCCCCGAGCGTCATGACGTCGAGGCGGGTTGTGGCAGCGGTGATGAGGGGCTCGTACTCGCTGTCGAGGCCATTGATGACGTCGGTGATGATGTCCTCATCACGCATGGCGCGGCCGACAGCAGCAAGCTGGTCAGTGTTGGCGCGGATCTTGGCGAAGTAGTCCGCCATGGAGAGGTTTTCCTTCCTGAAGATCGCCATGTCCAGCTTAATCTGCACAATATTGGCACGACAATGGGTCTGGTACATCTCCTCGAGATGCTCCCAGATGGCACGAGATGTGTCAAACCTGTGCACCTGTTGAAGAATTTCGTCGATGAGGGAGGCGAGCAAGTAGCTGAGGACGATCTGGTCCTGACGGAACCAGGTGGCGTACTCTGGATTGGGAGCACGGATGCCCTTGTCATCGGCGGGAAGCAGCCGATCGGGAGGGAGCTCGGTGCCATCGACATAGCCAGTGGCATTGGTGATGTGAAGGGGGGAGGATCTGGGCTTTCCAGGAGAGAAACTTGGAGGAGGTGAGCTTGGCGGTGATCAGGCTAGCGGAAGGGGGAGGCACGGAGGAAGCAGGCGGGCTGCCAAAGGATGCTGGCAGCGAGAGGGTGGTTAGGGCTGCGGAGGAGGAGGCGGAGGCAGTAGGGGAACCCATCGTGCTGTTAAGCGAGAGGCTCTGATACCATGTGAAAACTGAGGGAAAGGTAGATTGGATCGGCGCACTCCAAACGGTACCCTCCGAGGGTTTATATATACGTGAGCTAGGGCACAAAGGCCTAGCCGGATATACATGAGTTGTTACAGGAGATATACAAGATACTAACAACTTTCTAAATCACAACTGCATGTTTAACACCTAGTGATGCGGGGGAGACGGTGGTGTGCGGCCCGTCTCGCAGGCATGGTACTCTGGGCCATTGCACCTGAATCTTGGGGCAGCACATATTGGGGCCGATGCAGCATTGACGGTGTTGCTCCGGACAACGGCTTGAGGCAAAGGGCATGGATGTGTAGTGGCGGCAGTGGATTTTTGGCCTAGTCGGTAATCTCTGGTGAGTTGGAAATTACAGTCTTAGGGTGTATATCCAAAGATATATATTTTTTACAATGCGGCTAGGAATAGCTTGGTCTCACTATCTTCTAATAAAGGAACAACAGAATCATCGAAAGCTTGACAACCAAAACGAAAAGATCCAAACGGGTTGCTTAGTTTTCTCTATTATATTACGCAAACGGGTTGCTTAGTTCGATCTGCAAAGTTTGAAGTTCATATGTTGTTTCATTTTCGAGAAACAAAAAAGAGAAATTTTCTTGTTGTTAATTAGTTAGAGAGTACGGATCTCAAAGCAAGGCTGGAGGGTTGAGGATAAGAGGTTTCATGTAGCCTGAGGTACAAAGGAACTTTGTGAACATGAGTATGGTTTTCTGTAGCTCAGGCTACATGATACCCCTTATCTTTGCCATCCATTTATGCATCAAGATCTGTGCAGACACATTTGTCTTTTTTGTTTCTCTCAAACGACATAACATATAAACTTCAAATTTTGCAGAACAACAATACATTCTAACTACAATCTAGGAAAAAACTTTCAGATTTTTTCATGCATTTTAAATACTTGAAATAATATTTTTATTCAAAGAAAATCTCATTTTGTATATTTATATCAGACAAAAAAATGTGAAAGTTTTTTCATGCATTGATGTTCTAATGTTTGTTCGATCTGCAAAGTTTGAAGTTCATATGTTGTTTCATTTTCGAGAAACAAAAAAGAGAAATTTTCTTGTTGTTAATTAGTTAGAGAGTACGGATCTCAAAGTAAGGCTGGAGGGTTGAGGATAAGAGGTTTCATGTAGCCTGAGGTACAAAGAAACTTTGTGAACATAGATTTATTGAAATGGAGACATAAAAGCCAGACGAAGATTCTAGCTAGATCTTATTTCATGCACGCATGGAAGGCCCTTAACGACATATGATGGGATCTCAAGCTGATGCCGCAAGGTCAGCAGTAGGCCCCTTCGGGCCATGCAAGTTAGCCCAGGAGCAGCTGTACTTGCGGATCTCGCCGTTCCTTCCGAACTCACTCGGCAAATGCGCCATCTTCCTCATGGAGGTGCCGAACTGGGAAAAGAACCACCCTTGGTCCTGTGCAAAGCCGTCGACCAGCCAGCTGGTGCTGGCGTCGCGTGTGAGGGCCATGTCGGAGTTGAGAACCCCCTTCCCCTCCTTCAGGTTGTTGTAGTACACGTTGTCGAACTTCTCAGGGGTGGTCACATCCAGGTCCTGTAGGTGGTTAGGGTTTCTGGCGCAGGTGCCCTGGAGCCAACGAACAAAGTCGGCGTTCTCTCCAAAGCGGTTCCTGAAGCTGCCGCAGCTTGACCTCCCGATCGTGTGCGCACCGGAGAGGGCCACGACGTCGGTGATGTCGAAACCGCGACTCTGGAAGGATTCGATGAGCTGGGTGGTGTTGAAGTCGGGGCCCGGCAGCTGCTCTACGTTCTCTCTGGGAGCGGGCGCGCGGCTATCCAGTAGACCAAGCGGCACCTCGTAGCCTGGCACCTCGAAGTGCATCACAGCCTCGCGGGTGGCGAGGTTCATGATGTCCGTGCAGGAGACAGTGGGCCCGCAGGTATCTTGAACCTTGACGCGAATGCTCTCAATGAGATACACTGCGTTCCTTCTGATTCCATTGTTCTGAGGCATGTTCAGCTCGCTCCAGAACTTGTCAGACAGTAGAAGCGACGCATCACAGCCCTGCATACATAGTATTTGTGGTTACAAATCCATAAATCCATGGATCCGTCCATCAAAGTTGACTGAGATTTTATTATGTCTACTAAATACACTCTCTAAATGTCCAACAAAAATACACTCTGAAAAGTGAAACTTGTACTTTTCACCAGACTCAACTGATATAAATCAACTTGGACATAAAGTAGTTCTAGCTAGTTATCTTGGGATTAGCAAAATCGTATGTCTGGACATAATCAGGATCCTCCTGAAATCAACCTCTTTTTTTTTACCTTAGGGACAAAAACGCCCCCAATTCAATCGCTTGAAACTGATAATACAACCAGCATCCTGTCCAGCTTAACCGCACAACACTCTCCAAGCTACGGCGCACTTAACATCTCTCAAGGCCAACAAAGTAACAAGTAATAAGAGGTAGCTAGGGTTGCGTACCTGTGGGAAGCAGTCGTGGAACATGACGCGGAGGAGGCCGGCGACAACACCGATATCCTCCTTGATTGCTTCCTCCACGGCGTCGTGCACCATCTGCCACAGGTTTGGACATGACTCGTCGTGGAAGTCATAGGAGGGGCTGTCGGAGTTGGGCAAAGAGATCAACGACGGCGCCGCCGTGGACAAGGCCGCGGGGGACAGCACCGCGGCCACTAGGCCTACCATGGCCAACATTGCTGCCCTGCTGGGCTTCATTGATCCTATTCCTATCCTACCTTAGTGAGGTTGAGCACTTGAACTAGCTATCTTGCTCTACTGCCTGTGCAGTGTGACTATGAGTGGGAGTGTGCCTTCCTCACGTCCAAGACTGGTTTATTTATAGCACAAGCACGTAGCTTATGCCGATCAAGGCTAGCTGGTGAACATAATGGATCATCACTTATCTATAAAAAATGTGGTGATAGGGGCGAAAAGACTCACGTACCCCCGAGTTCCAGATTACAATAGCAATCGCGAAATGTATTTGTGAGTTTGTGATCACATGTATGCGGAAGCTAATCTTGATGAAAAAGAAAAAGATTGCTGCTAGTTTTCTACTCTCGCATGATTCCACATGCATTCAGAATTGTTAACACATTGGTCGATAATGGATCGCATCGTCGTGGCAAGCTATGCGCGCGTGGCGTGCATGGATCAATCGACGATGCGCCCTCACATGACCCCTTGAAGACTAACTAATTCTAGGATTCCGTAAGCCCACAAGGCCTCTGTCGACAAACGGTGTACACCCAGCTAAGGTACCCCATGCTCCTAAAAAAAGCTAAGGTACCCATATCTTATATCTAAGCTGAGATATTTTCTCATCCGATATTTTATTTTAAGGTGCAAGGGCAACTTCAACACTGTGCAACAATTTTCTGCACATATTCTTATGGAGGTGGCTGCCTTAGGCTGGGCATTATGGCTTATCAGAAATGATGCAGTTTTTAATATAATAAACAAAAAATGTATTTGGCAACCGTGTGACAGATTGCAAAACTGCTGCCACACAATCCCATCAATGTCCACGGACACGATCCCGCCGCCCGATCGACCCGCACCGTTTCGCTTCTCCCGCGCACGATCTTCTCACGATCCCATCTAGCAGTTCCGCTTCTCCCACACGCGTGATCTTTTTTTTCCTCTGTGCGCAAAAAAATTAGCACTAAGTGGGGCTCGATCCCTCAACCAACAGGTTTGCATGTAGGCTGAGTACCACTGGGATAATTTCATTGGCATGTGCACAAGAGGATTAGCTAAGTATTCAGGCTGTCAGAGTTCAGATGGATCCAAACCAAGATTTGATCCATCTCGTGCTCGCGTAAATAGAAAAGCTTGGGCACTCTCTAACAACTGACTAATGTTCAAAATTTGCTGCTACTATATATATCGGCATCTCAATTTCCGTACATCTCAACTTCCGTAATTCTATATTTGTTTTAGCTGACGATGGTAACTTTGGCCCGAATGAAAAAATTGTTGAAACATTTCCCTGATAATCTATGTGTGGACAACATGTTAATGTATGCACCGCAAACCTGATAACATATGAACACACATACGATGGTAACTTTGACTGGGGAAAAAGTTGTTGAATTTTACCACGGTAACTTCTATGTCCATAACATGGAAACTTAAGATCTGCAGATCTGATAACTCACATACAAACATAGTGGTAACTTTTTGACCTAAGGAAAAGAGTTGGTGAAACATACTCTTGTAATTTTTGTGTAAAATGTTTGGTAATATACGCACCGCAGTGTTGGGAACTTACGTACAAACACCATGGTAAACTTTGATCGGAGAAAAAAATGTTAAAAACATACCCCAGTAATTTCTACGTAAATAGCATGATAATATATGCGTTGCAAACCTAATAACTTAGATATAAACACCACAGTATCTTTTACCTAGGAAAGCCAACTTACAAGCATGCCTTCACCTCCACGCCCCTCGTGACCACCTAGCTGACATCACCACCGTCGGCGCGTGACAACAACCTTGGCAGGAGCAGGAAGAGACTTCACTGCAAGGTTACATTGCCTAGTAGGCTCCCGAAATGTTCGATGAAGTGCGTGTCTGCTTCTTCCTGGTGTGGATAGTAGTTGTGGTCGAAAATGACATGTAACTTTTGATCAAATAAGATTTTTAAAGCAGCGTAGGCTTGATAATTTGCATATAAACATTATGATACCTTTTGACTCAGGGTAAACAAATATTGGAAAATATACCTACCATAATGTTTGTGTAATAGCATGCTAATATACGCATTGCAGACTTGATAACTTACGTCCAAAACATCACGGTAATTTTTGACCTGGGAAAAAATACCGTTGAAACAATACTCCGGTAATTTTGATGTAAAAACATGGTTTTTAAGCAACCCATACCTAATAACTTACAAACAAAATCATGTTGATTTTTTGACCTGAGACTTTTTTGTTCGAAACATGCCCGGTAATTTCTATGTAAATAACATGGTGATATAAACTCCAATAACCGATAACTTAGATACAAACATGTAACTTTTTGACCCAGAAAACTTTTTGTCAAAAAACACATCGCGGTAATATTAACCAAGGATGAAAAAGTTGTTCGGCGAGAACTTCTGTGAAGATAGCATGCTAATATACGAACCGTTCACCTGATAACTTGCGTATAAACAACGCGGTAAATTTGACGAAGGGGGGAATAGTTGTTGAAAAATATACCCTGGTAATTTTTATGTAAATAGCATGGTCATATAAGAATTCAATACTGATAACTTAAGTACAAACACCGCCGTGACATATTTGACCATGGAGGAAAAAGTTGCTGAAAAAATATAGCACGGTAAGTTCTATGTAAATAACATGGTAATATAAGAATTCCATATCTGATAACTTAAATACAAACACCACGGTAACATTTTTTGACTAACGAGGAAAAAGTTGCTGAAAAGTATAGCATGGTAATTTTTATGTAAATTGCATGGTAATATAAGAATTTCATACCTGATAACTTAAGTACAAACACCGCGGTAACATTATTGACCAAGGAGGAAAAAGTTACTAAAAATATAACACGTTAGCTTAAGTACAAACAGCACGGTAACATTTTTGAACAAGGAGAAAAAAGTTCCGGAAAAATATAGCATGGTAATTTCTATGTAAATAGCATGGTAATATACGAACCTCATACCTGATAAATTTAGTCCAAACACTGAGGTAACATTTGACCAAGAGGGAAAAAATTGTTGAAATACTGTGGTGATTTGCATCTGAAAAGGAAGGGAAGGGGACGCCTGAGTTTGTGAACCATCTGAACCGGTGCAAAACGTCCATAGAAAAGTTCCAAATCCCAGACAAGTGAGTCTGTTTGTTTGAATTTTCAGTTTCATTCAATCTCATTTCAGGAAGGTACAAGTAGCGTGTAAGTTGAAAGAAACCAATAAGATGGTGTAGCCTAGTTGGTTATTGTTGCTAAATTAGTTGTGGTAGGTTGTGTGTTCGATCCCCCCTCCTACTGTATTTTTTCGCTTTTTTCAAGCTGCAAATGTGCGTGCGCAGAATCGGGACAGGCCCGCTCCCAGCGGTGGGATTCAGGTGGCCCAGAAAATCGGGCGAAGGGAGAGGTTAGTGCGGGGGGAACAGGTTGGCCCAGAAAATCGGGAGAAGAAGGAATGGGTTTCGTGCGACACGAGGGGGTGTGATGGTTTTCGCAATCTGGCACACGGTTGCCAGTTATCACAGTCCTATAATAAATGTGTTTCTTTAGCTGAAATAAGTTATACGCAGAATATTACCTCTTTTTTAAGGCCTGTTTTTGCCCTGTTTAAGCTGGGTTTTTTTTGGCCCATTTGTCTACTGGGACGTGTGTGTGTGTGTGTGTGTTTTGTGTAACGAGAACTTTCATCGTGACAAGGGGATTTGCGGGGGGCGGGGGGACTAGCGCTGGGGCTTCTTTTCTATCGAACGAAATCATGCAATCCGCTCCCCCATGGAGCGCGAACAAATTATTCGCTCGGACAGGTTCCATGATCTGACATGAGTACGCTGCCCTTCTCAACGCCGCCATGATGCTACCTTAGCTTGTGATGTGCACTGTGGGTAGCTTGTTTGAGGGTGTGGCTTCCTCACGTCCAAGATGCTGCAATTTTATAACGGAGGCAGCTGGCTCTAGTTAACCATACATGGAGGAAATTAACCGGAGTTCTTGAAGTAATTAAAGTTCATTGACCCAGGGAGCAAAGATATCGATAATGGATCCAGCACACTGACATTAATTAACTTCGGGATCGATCTGTCTGGTTACCCCCGAAGATGTGAGTCTATCCAGGAGGTCAGGGTTCAAATTAGCAAATTAATACTCCCTCCCCATAAAAACGCTCTTATATTATGAGACGGAGGGAGTAGGTTCTAGAAAGAGAGCACATGGTTCAGTGACGGAGCTAGTTATAGTCAGAAGACGAGGGAGAGTGGATTAAAAACTAGTATCAATTTCTCTCTTCCCGTTTTGTTGGCACTTAGATATACAAGCTTGACCAAGCAATGCTCTCGTTGCATACAACTGCATTGTGCTGCTGATTACGAATTTATGGAGAGAAATGCAAGGATTTCCAAAGGCATAAATGGAAAAAAAAACACAGCAATAGCTAGCGTATTATGATATGTGTTTGCATTGCACGAAGGTAAAACCCCAAACAGAAATTGAAAGAGTTGAGTACATGTTATTATGGAGATTAAAGACCAATCCGATCAAGCTAATGACAGAAAACAATAGTGCATGGCATTGCACAATAGGGTGCTTTCAGTTTGTTTGTCGATAATAAGTGTTAATAGACCACAGACACGAAGAAGTGGTTTGATCTACCTTTATTTCGCAATTATAAGGGTGATTATAATTTTTGTCTGTCACTTTCGCAACTCAGATCACCATTACTTTCCATGACACAAAGGATAATGAAAGCTAAAGTAAGGAAATTAAGATATTTGATGAACTGAAACGATACTGCAGGGGGCCTGCCTAGTGGCTCTATGCTACGTGGCCATATGCTATTTGCAATCAAGCAAAACATAAGCTATGTAGCAAGCTCTTATTACATGCAGTCGACGGCGCTAACGCTATGGTCGATCTGATCTATCAAGCAAAGGCCGCAAAAACCTCAGCGGCGAGGAAGACAGACTCTCCATTCCCATTGCGCCTGAAGCAATTGTTGCGGATCTCGCCGATGTTTCCGCCTGGCAAATGCGCGAGCTTCCTCATGGAGGTGCTGAACTGGCTAAAGAACCAACCCTGGTTCCCGGCGAAGTTGTTGACCCAGTTCTTGGTCTCGCCGTCGTGGGTGAGCGCCATGTCGGAGTTGAGCACTCCCCTCCCCATCTGGAGATTGTTGAAGTACCTATTGTCGAACGTGTTAGGGGTGGTCACGTCGAGGTCCTGCAAGTGGCCAGGGTTTCTGGCGCAGACTTGTTGGAGCATGCGGACGAAGTCAGCGTTCTCCCCAGCGCGGTTCCTGAAACTGCCGCAGCTCGCCTTGCCGACGGTGTGCGCACCAGAGAGCGCGACAAGGTCCATCTTGTCAAACCCGCGGTCGGCGAAGTTTCTCACGAGCTGCTGGACGTTGAAGTCGGGTCCGGGCAGGATCCCGACTTGCTGGGCCGTAGCGGGCGCGAGGCTGTCCCGCCGGCCAAGCGGCACATCATAGCCCGGCAGCCTGGACTGCATGACGGCCTCCTTGGTTGCGAGGCTGGTGATGTCCGCGCAGGACACGGTAGGCCCACAGGCGCGGTGCACGGTTGCACGGATGCTCTCGATGAGGTCGAGCATGTTGTTGTTAACCTTGTCCTCTTTCCTAGTTTCCTAAGACTGTACGTCTTTCTTCTTTGTGTTTCAGTTATAGACACCTAGGAGTTTATCTGTACGTGTTTTGTACGTACATGTTTCTGTATGGCCAGAAGCGTGCTTAGTCCACGTTGCGGCCAAGTCGTGTCTAGCGTTTTCGTAGCACGAGCGAGTCCACGATCTGAAGCCGTGGGATGGTGCGAGCATGTTGGGTCGTGGCGTAGAAGTCGCTCAGTTTGTTTTCCCTGTTGAATAAAAGAAGAGAAACAGAAAAGACGCTGGAATTAAGGCGTCGCAAAACTGTCTCCCGTGTTCGTGTGTGTTTTCTGTTCGTCCTCGAGTTCCTCCTGGGCTCAGATCGAGGCATCCACAGATCGCGTGTGTGTAGATCACGACCTGAAAGCTGTCAGAGCACACTCCTCCGAAGCCCACCGTTCTGGGGCATGTTCTGCTCACTGTTGCCTCCCGTCAGGAGGATCGATGCGTCGCAACCCTACACGATCACAATGCATGTGATAAGTTCAGCCAGTACTGATGATAATGATACTTTTCAAATAAAGTGCATTAATAGTATTGGTAAATGTATGCACCTGAGGGAAGCAGTCATGGAAGAAGAGGCGGAGGAGGCCGGGGACGACGCCGGCATCCCTTGCCATCGCTCCCTGCACGGCTTCGCGCACCATGTTCTGCAGGTTGTTGCAGGACAGGGCGTGGAAGTCGTAGGACAGGCCGTCGGGAAGGGGCACGTCGGTGGTCATGGAGATCAGCGACGGCTGTGAAAGGGCTGAAGTGGCAGCGAGGCCCATCATGGTCAGCACCATGGCTGCCCTGCTCAACGCCGCCATGACGCTATCTTAATTAGCCTGTGCTGTGCACTGTGACTGTGAGTAGTAGCTTGTGAGTTGTGAGTGGGAGTGTGGCATCCCCACGTCCAAGATGCTGCCATTTTATAACAGAAGTAGCCGGGTCTACTTAACCAGGGTTGAGATAATTAACCGGAGTCAGTTGAAAATATTTAAGTTGCGGCGACAGAGTGAACAGAGATACCGATAATGGATCGAGCATGCATGCGCGCGCAGTAACTGGGAAGCTACGTACTTTGCATCACGTGCATTGTTGTATGCATGTGCACGCCATCCAGCTCAATGTCTAATAGCTACTACGTTGAGCGAGAGTGTGGCATCCTCACGTCCAAGATGATGCCTTTCTTTTTTGTTTGTTTGAGGGAAATTTTGACTTTAAGCAATTAAAGGGCGGCTTTGCTAAATTACAGGATGAATTTTTCGGAGTACAGTTAGGATGATG